CGTAATTACTCTCGGTGACTTGGAATGCCTTGATAGTTCCTAAGGCTTCACCAGAGAGGCAAGAAATTAAATGGTTAAATTTCTCGATAACAGGAATGTTCACATCCTTGTCTACTAATGTCTCAAAGAGACTCATGAAATTTTTAAACTCCGAATAGTTTCCACTGAATTTTGGCAATGCCAAACTGGGAAGTCGAGCTCGAGTTGGGGCTGCAGAAATTGCAGTAGCTGGTGGGGACTCTTCAGCTAACGTGAAGGCATTTAATAAAGACATCACCCTTGCCTTAGTTGCTATCTCTAATTCTTCCAACTCGGCTCCAAATTCATCTTCCTCATCTAATTGCTCGATCTGGTCTTGCAACTCGTTTGCCTTAAATATTGTCTCATTTAAAACCTGAAGCCGGCACTCTAGCTCGGTCTTCACTAAAGGAACTGACCCAGCTTCCAAACGTTCCTCTAACCGGCGAATGCTTTTTACTCTGACATTTAATCTTCTTCTTAATTCATCAAGATTCGTGGATTTTACTTTCTGTTTATTACTTTCCATTTTAAAATTTATTTATTTATTTTTAATAAACAGGCGACGATAAAAAATTTAAAATTTTTGTTTTTATTTTTAAATAAAAAATTTTTTAATTTATTTGTTAATTAGCAAAAAAAATACAAATTTTGACTAATATAAAAAATTTTTTAATTTTAATTATTTAATTAATAAATTAAATTCAAAAAACGAAAACGAACGAAAAAAGATATTTAATTTAATATCTAGCGAAAACGAAAATTAATTAATTAATATGGCGAAAAAAGATAAATAATTAATTAATTATTTGATAGTCGAATTATGTTGATAGTCGAGGCACTGAGTATCCAAAAAAATAGTTGGTTGCCAATGACACCGAAAAAGGTGTATACCCCACAATTATAGGGTAGCGCGTCACTTGGCGTTCCGGTAAAATAAAATGCGCCAAACTAATGCATATATGTACATACATACATATATAGCAGCGGACAACGGTTGGAGCGAAAACGAAAATTTTACCGATGCATATATTTGTATGTACGCCAAATTATTTATGCACGTAAATATGTATTATATTTGTACATATATTTGTATATAAATAAATGTTTGGCTGCACTAAATTTAACTATTTTGTTTGGCGAAAACGAGGGCGGGCGACAGTGATGTGGATATGTATTTATGTATGTTTTTGTCAATTTTAGCCACAGGCAGTTTGTTAATAATTTAACTAACTACTCAAATTTTTAAGCTCTACTAATTTCAAGTACGTATGCGCCAAGAATTGAAAGGAGGGTGCAATATTTCAGCACAAGACGAAGATTTAATTTGTCTCTTCTCAACTTTCAATTTTTCGCACAAATACCTGGGGTTCTGCCTTGGGATCCTTTAATCCCGCTGCCACTTTCCTGTTGCAGTCGATGCAGGTGCACGGCATGGAAGGAGATTGGTTATGATAAGTGGCGAAGTTCCTGCGGTGATGATCCTGCGGTGATGATCCTGCGGTGACGATCCTGCGAGGCTTGAGGGTTTCACGACGCGGTGATTTTTGGGTTTTATGTTCCACAGCACGGACGCGTCGCGAGCAGCTCTTTAAATTGTATGTATATATATATATTTTTTTTTTGGTTGTAATTATGTGTAATTACACAGTGTCACTGTCACTTTGTTTTTGTTTATTTATTAAATATCTCGCACTAAGTCCACCCGGGGGCGCCAAAATGTTTAACGAGATTGTTTTATCTCACACTTTAAATAACAAAACAAAAAGGGTGGCTGCTAATATTTAATAAAAACTGGGCGAAAACGAAAACGAAAGGTCTTGCTTCTTCAACGTTATAAATTCGAGTATATTTTCTAATCTTTCTCTAATCTTAAGCCTAACTTATCTATTGCGGCGAAGCGGGGCGAATTCGCACAAGAGCGAATATGAGCTTTCGCTCCCGCTCCGCCCTAAGCTATCTAAGAGTAAATTTACGGACTAACAACTAACAAATAAAATTCAGCTATAAATATAATTCAATAATGGCCAGCTATAAATATAATTCAAATTTTTTCGACTTCAATAATATAAATCAATTTACAAAAGTCAAATACTGTTGATAATTTCTTTACTAAGAAAAAGCTGTCGTCTATGACCGCTGAACTTCTAGCCTTGGGAAAAGCAATTGATTTTGCAATTTCCAACTGCTTTCCTAAGATAGCCGTACTGACGGATAGCCTTGGCGCTATTCAAACTCTACAAAATAACTGCTCCAGCAATTATATTGCCCAGGAAATATTCTCCAAAATCGAAAATTGTCCTATGCTTTTAAAGGTTGTTGTTCACCACATACCCAGCCATGCAAATATTTGGGAAAACGAAATTGCTGATAGAGAAGCAAAGAATGCTTCTATACACGGCTCCTTCAAATATGTTAGATGGACATTAAGTAATGCGATCAACTATATATTTCATTATATCAGTGGTCGGCACCCCAATACATTGATATGATTTTAACGCATTAGTGTTAGTTCCGAATTGCAGAAAGTAGGGTGTGAGCATGACGTTTCACACATGTACACTGTGTGTGTATGGCAGAGCTCGGGCAGAGAAATTTCCTATGCCCCCTGGATAGGTCCGTGCCGACCTCTGCATTATATTCAAGATGATTGGGAAAGAGACTATAACGTATTCTCTATGGAACGTAATAAAGACTATTCAAACTTTAGGCCTTTCATCACCAAGAAACCCTGGTTTTATGAAACGGATATTTTCGACCGTATAGACCCAAAACGATTAAATAGAATCCTTAGCGGATATGCGTTCGATAAGTACACTTTATCAAAAATGAATGTTTTGGACAATGCTATTTGCGACACATGCAATTTTTTTTTTTTTTTTTTTTTTTTTGTAATAGCAGGGTAATGTTTATTTAAAACTGTAATTAGGGACAACCATTAAATTTTATCACGTAAACTTCACGTATAGATATTTTTAAATATTAATATGGTAGAAAAAAAAATTAGAGTAGTAAGGGGAGGTCCAGCGGGTGTGTCCTTTTAAGTCTTCTGGGTTGCTCGCTGCTGTCCAGCAGGGAGCTGGCCAACCGGTTCGGGTGATTATGAAGCCTCTGCATGTAACGTGCGCTGCTTCTTTGTATCTCGTCCTTGACCCAAGGGAAATTGAGAACCTCGTGGATGGTGCGATTGTCATGATAGACGTGGGCCCCAGTGGCGATTCGAAGGACTCTATTTTCGAAAGCTTGCATAGTTCGGACATTCGTCTTGCTCGCAGTTCCCCAGAGCTGTATGCCGTCCAGATAGGGCGTATTATTGCCTTGTAAATGAGGAGTTTAGTGGAAGTTCTCAGCTTCGATCTCCTACCCATAAGCCAGTTGAAGGATCGAAGTCTTTGAATAGCCTGTTTCCTCTTCTTAATCAGATGGGGCTTCCAGGTGAGCCTTCTGTCTAGGGTGAATCCCAGGTACCTGGGATTGTCTACCTGTGGGATTGGAGAGCCGTTAAGGTTAACTGGAGGGCAGTTGCCTTTGCAGAGAGAAAATGTGGAGGCAGTGGACTTCTCATTATTGACGGCAATGTTCCATCGCTTTTGCCAGTCGCTGAGCAAGTCAAGCTGCAATTGCATCGTATCGGCTGCCCCCAATGCGCTATCGGCGGTGGTAAGGAAGGCGGTGTCGTCTGCATAGGTTGCTGCGAGCAGGTCAGGCCTCTGAAGAACAGGGAGGTCGGCCGTGTAAGCATTGTACATCAACGGGCCAAGAACGCTGCCTTGGGGTACACCAGCGTGAGCTTCTCTAATACCGGAGATGGCCTCGCCACATCTAACAGCAAATTTACGGTCTTCCAAGAACGACTTTAGGAACTGGAAGTATGGTCGGGGTAGGCCAGTCTTTAATTTATATAGAAGACCGGGATGCCAGACTTGGTCAAACGCCTGCTTCACGTCCAGCATGACGGCCATGCAGTACTTCTTGGTTTCAAACGCGTCCAGGATGCACTGCACTACCCGATGGCACTGCTCTGGCGTACCGTGTCGCCGCCTGAAGCCAAACTGGTGGTCAGGGATCAGTCCAGCCTCGTCAAATACTGGCAGTGCTCTGCTTAAAAACACTCGTTCAAGTATTTTGGAGAGCGTTGGTAACAAACTTATTGGTCGGTAGGACGAAAGGTTTGCTTCGGGTTTCCCGGGCTTAGGTATCATAGTTACCTGGGCACGTTTCCATGTGGACGGGAAGTACCCTATCTCCAAGCATCTATTATAGATCCTCGTAATTAGCTGAATGCTTGGAGGTGGTAACATTTTTAATGCAATTGCATTGATACCATCATCGCCCGGGGCCTTGTTGTTGCTCATGATGGTTATAAGCTCAGCTGTTTCCTCCTCAGTCACTGGTGGTATTGGATCGGCGTCCCTAGAAGGCTCGGCTAGCAGACGGGCAGTTTCAGCAGCATCCTCCGGTGAGCAGCGATCGAGCGACACATGCAATGCAGTGGAAAATATTTCACATCATATTTTAAATTGTTCAAAATACTCAAGCATTCGCCGCCATTTACCAACACTTTTAAAATATAATGATATTTATCGCTTCTTTGCAAATGAACCAATCGACAACTACATATCGATAACGTTGTTCTTAAAGCAAGCCAAAATTAATATAAAAAATTATTGTCTTTAATGCAAGCGCAATTTTTAGATCTCCTGAAATAAGATTTCATACATTGGCTGTGGCGTTAGCCCGTTCAAACGGGGAGGCCAAATAATTCTTCCACTACAGGAAGTAACTTAATAAAAAAAAAAAAAAAAAAAATATAGCTAGTGTTATAGCAAATCTATACGTAAAACCACATAGCTTTTTAATGTATTGAAAAACAGTATTTAAAATTTTTGAAAAACCAAATTATTTTTTTATAAATTAACCTTTTAAAATTTTCAGTTTTTATTGTCTTACACATTAAAAAACACATATCATCATGTTTTTAGGGCTTGGAGGTCCACAAAGCTGAACTTGAACCCGTTCTGAAAACATTATCAAAGCCCCACGCCGAAGCTATCAGACAACGCGTTATTATATTGAATCAGACCGTGCGAGGGCGCAAAAAGATCCGGTCAAAGCGTAAGCCTGATATCAGAGATCTATTTAGGGACTTTGATGTAAAAATTAAATTCTTACATCTCGAAAGAAAGTTTTTTAATTCCAACCTATTTTATAGGAATCTAGTACAGGAACACGATCTCGGAGTGCTACTCCAGACTCTTTGGATTCCATACAAGTTGACGATGTTTGGGGAACCTCTTCTATGTGAGTTGTATTGATAAATTAATGTTCTAATTAAAATCTACCTCAATAGTGTTTATATAGACCAAACTTTGTGCGCATCTTTGAAGAAAAGGACGAGAGTGAAAAAAATACAACTCTGCATTCGAAAAAAAAAAACTTGAAACAAAAAATACGCCGGACACCTAGCGCACCTATTAAAAGCGGTTTATCTCCGGATCTATTTCGCGGCTCAAATATGCGTTGTGATATACCATTAAATTCAGCGCATGGGGTTGAACTAGTTGGATATTCAAGAATTGGAACCATAAATTTGGCACGAGGACGGTCTGGTTCTGACCCAGCATGTTCAATTGGGTGAGTTCACTATTCAAATCTTAATGATTTTAGATACTTATTTTGATTTAAAAACACGTAATCAAACTTTTACGTTCTTATGCGTTAGTGTTTATAGCTGTTCACTCCTATTTAATAATAAACCTAATTTACACAGATTCGGTAAAATGAAGAATGTGACAAAATGAAGAATGTGAATCTGACAGCTGTCAGTCTCAAATTCTTAAATAAAAAGGTTTATTTTCATGTAAAATTTGCCCAATTTAAGGCTTATCACTCTTGATCAAGGCTTATAATTTTCCATAGCACGCGTGCATAGGGTTGGAAATCCCGGCGCTGCCGGTGTGAGCACGTTCAAATGTTTTTTAGAAGCTCTCTCATTTGCTCTCATTTTGCAACACCTGACACCTCAACGTAAAAAAAATAAATTTGGTTGGAGAAATCTCTCCATAGAAAATAAATATAGGTACGCAGGGAAGCGTACCTTTTCATTTGTTTCAAAAATTTTGCTGTTGTACTATTTAAGTGCCTGTTCAAAATTTTGTATTGATGAAAATCGAAAAAAACTAAGTTTTTCGCACAGTGAATGCCCTCCTTCTTTATTTTTTCTGCTTACGCACAGAATTAAATATTAAACATGTGTGCGTTTTGCTCACCACTGCTTTAGATTGGTGTTGAACTGGCACAATGCAGTGATCTCGGACCAAGGTGGTAAGGTCCCAAGTAAATCTAAATAAACAAGAAAAGGAAGCTAACTTCGGGCGGAGCCGAAGTTGATATACCCTTGCAGTTAAAACCGGATATATATCACATACAGAATATCAAAATATAACGAATTTATTAGAATACAAAATATAAAAAAGTCGCAAACTTCTATCTTCAAAAATACCAAAGTTGGTATGTAGTTCTACCAAATACCATTTCTGATCGTTCAGTTATATAACTGCTATATAGCAGCTATAAAATGTAGTCGGCCGATCGTTATGAAATTAGGTAGGTCAGATCAACTGAAATCGACCAAAAATAGAATATGTACAAAGTTCCAACTTTCTATCTTCAAAAACACGAAAATTGGGTCATTTCCGATTGTTCAGTTATATGGCAGATATAGAATACAGTCGGCAGCTATAGAATACACCCAGTCCTTTTTTTACGCGATTGTTGGTTCTGGCACTAATCGCGTAAAAAAAAATCGCGTAAAAATAGTAACCGCTAACTAAATGACTAATGACTAGATTTTCAATAATTGATACACATAGAGTAATCGCAATCGCAATCGCAATCGCGTTAAAGTGAAAAATCCGCGTAAAAAAAGAAATTTGCGCTGCAAAAATAACCGCGTTAAAGTGAAATCGCGTAAAAAGAGATCGCATAAAAAAAGGACTGGATATATAGAATACAATACGATCCTTATGAAATTTTGTATGTCGTATTATTTTGTCAAAATAGAATCCATAGAAAATTCCAACTCTCTAACTTGAAAAACACCAAAGTAATAGGATTTCCGATCAATCAGTTATATGTCAGCTATACGATATAGTTGGTCGATCCCGTCCATTCCGACTTATATACTTATATACTCTTACTTCACAGATGTCATTTTTGCACGAACGACTCTCTTTTCGTTGTCAAGATCTTCCACCAATTCCAATACGCACACTGTATTGGATACTGTATTGAATATTTATATGTTCGTCTATCGTATAGCGGTCACCATTAAAAAAAAAAACACTTCCATTTGGTCCTTTAAATTTTGGATCCAATTTTACCAATCTTATACTTTACAACTTGAGCATGCTTTTTATCAACGCTAGCCCCATCATACTGAACGTCCTACTTATACGTTCCTCATTGCCGACTGTATTCTATAGCTGCCATATAACTGAAAAATCGGAAATGACCCAATTTTCGTGTTTTTGAAGATAGAAAGTTGGAACTTTCTACATATTCTATATTTAGTCAGTTGATCCGAACTACCAAACTTAAAACGACCGGCCGACTATATCTTATAGCTGCAATATAACTGAATGATGGGAAATGGTTTTTGGTAGAAATACCAATTTTGGTATTTTTGAAGTTAGAAGCTTGCGACTTTTTTTTTAGATATTTTATTGTAATAAATTGGTTATATTATGATATTCTCATAAGGGTCATTCAACTATATCGGATGTTTGTGATATATATCCGGTTTTACCTGCAAGGGTATATCAACTTCGACTCCGCCCTAAGTGACCCCTATGCAAACCTCTCCTAAAACTATCTCTTTGGAAACATGATACTTCCCTTTATGTGGAAGGGAAAAAATCAGACGCTGCCAAATATAAAGGCATTTCTAAATTATCATTGATTATCATTATATGTATAATAATTATACAAAGCTTTTTAAAAACTTCATTACGCCACACCTTTGTTGCTTATCAATTTCTCCTTGCCAGCATGGTTTTATAAACCGAGCTAACTTCTTTTATTATTGAATGATTCCAGAGTGGCTTACAAACAGATGTCATTTCCACTGAGTAACACTATAGTAAAGCATTTGACTCTGATAACCACTTAAGGGGGAAAATACAATTAGAAATTTTTTTTTTTCGAAAAATTTTTTTTTGTCTTAATTTACTCTAAATATGTCTGGGAATAAACCTTTAAAAGCATAAAGCCGTCCGGTATTTATTTTCAAAGTAATACGCAATTTAGTGAGTGCGTGTCAGTGGTAAACTTTAGTGAGTGGTAAACTCTAAACGCTTCTACTGAAAATTCGTGTTTTCAAAGTCGCCGTGCAATGTACAGGTCAGAGATTTCATTTCAATCGAATGCGGTTTTTTGCTTTATGTTTGTAATGAAATTCTCCACAACATGAATGAAAGGATTTTTTATATTTATTTGTTATAACATGTTTTTTTTACGAACAAAGTCGAAAAAAAGTGTGTTTTTTTTTTTACATTTTTTTCAATTTCAAATTTTTTTTTATGGAAAAACCATTTTTTTACATATGAAATAATTCATGTTGTGCGCTGTACTTCTAAGTTTAATGCCCAGTTCCTGTTTTTTGTTTTAGACGTGATCCTGGGCCTGGAGACTGCACGGCGCAAAGTTTATCCCCCAAAACACGACTCCACATTATTGATCATAAATGGGCTTAATTACAATATTTTTCGAAAAACTTGACTGATTTTCATTGCCCAATAATTTCCTAATAACATGCAAAAAGAATCACTAAGATTCATTCAATTCCCTACTTGCAATACACTCCCAAAGATAGGCCTCATTTTAGGCCTTTTAATTGTATTTCCTCCCTTATGTCCTCATCAGGCCTATTTTCTCTAAGGGTGCGCCTTAGTCTTCCATAGTAGACTTTTAATGATTAACTTGCATTATGACGATGTTAACAGCCATGACGATGTAATGTATAAGGACTAGAAACTTTTGTCCGCTACTCCTTAGCCATTTTTGTTAGACACATGCCCAGAATTATCCATTTAGGGTATTATGTTCGGATTACAATGGTCTCTACCACATTATTTGGCTCTACTTTAAACTTTAAAACTTATACTCTTAACGCCTTGTCTGAGCAACAGTCTTCCTCGAAGTCTCTTACACTTTCTTCACTCTCGGATCTACTCCCCGATTCAGTAAAGAATCAGTAAGAGATTAAAATAGTAAAAATAGTTCTATAATTTAGTTTATAAGAGTAAATTATTATAAAATACTCTACCAAGGTAACATTTTGTATCTCTTTTTATACAGTAAGGCACGGGGAGAGACTGCAAAGATACACAGTGAAAATAATACATCAGGCGATTCCAGCGATGATTGCATTGATAAATTAAACGAAAACTATAAACAGCTTTCAAAATCAGACAATGAGTGTCCAGGAAATTTGCTTATGGCTGGTGATGTTATAAGCTTTGAAAATATTTGCCGTGATACCTTTGGTCCAGATGAAGTAGATATATTAGACGATTTTAATCCATCACAAAAACAATACATAGACATCGTTTTATTAAGTGAAATTGATATAAAACGATTGCAGTCTATTATTTGGCTAGAGTTAGCAACCATATTTGATCGAAACAAAATATCTCTAGACAGAAGAAAACCATACAAAAGACGTCGTAAAGAAGAAGGAAATCTGTTTGGTGTTTCGCTAAGTGCTCTTATTCGACGTGATCAGCAAATCACTGGAACCGATTCTAATCTTGTACCACTATTTTTGGAAAATCTGTTAGCTGAAATAACTCTTCGGGGATCTACAGAAGAAGGAATACTTCGAATTGCTGGAAATAAGCAAAAGGTTCTTCTTATAATCTTAGGTACACAAGTAAATATTTTACATTTTTAATCTTTCTTTCAGACTGAAGTACTTTACAATGAACTAGAATCAATATTTTATCTGAAATTTGAAAATATGGACAATTATTTTTCTAATGCTACAGTTCATGAACTAAGCGCGCTTCTTAAGCGATGGTTACGGGAACTTCCACAGCCTTTACTTACAAACGAACTTGTTCAACTGTTTTATCAATGTCATAAACTAACATCGATGGATCAAAAAAAGGCTTTTTCACTTTTATGTCAATTGTTACCACATGAAAATAGAAACACGTTTCGAGCGTTGTTAAGTTTTTTAAACAATATAATCAATTTACAAAATGTTAACAAAATGAATTTACACAACGTATCTACGATAATAGCTCCTTCTTTCTTTCCCCCCCGTAATGTTCATCCAGTTAACAAAAACAACATTGAAGAGCAAGTAAAAATGGCTGCAATATGCTGTCGTTTGACCAATGTTTTAATTACACGCGGCGAAAAACTTTTTCAGGTACAGAAAAACTTAATAACGGAGTCAAAAAGTAAAAAACGAATGGTATGTATTTAATATAAAAAACGACTATTATTTAAACCGTTTCTTTTTAGAGAAAAAAAGCATTATCCCAGCTCGAAATAATGGAAATTCGCAATGGAAATCCTACTAGTTCAACAATTATTAATGAAGAGTCAAAAAATACAAATCATGTACATCACACTGTTGTATAATATAGAAGAGTATATAAATATTGTTATTGTAATTGGTGCTCCAATTTATTTTATTTTCTGTGATACATTTATGTTCTTTTAGCATTAATGAAGTCTCTAGGGTCTTGGTTTAGCACTAACTTTAACTAGCAGGTATAAAAAATAAATATAATCTTGTATGATATAATATGGTGCTAAAGGGTATATAAATGCATTTAAAAATATAGAATAAACTACATTAGTATCACCTAAAGAATTGAATTTAAGTGTCGTCCCTTAAAAAAAGTTATGAAATACATTTTATGCGAAATGTACAAATATATGCTCAATCGTGATTGTTTTTTTCTTTATATAGTTGGTTGGTTATGATCCTTATGAGAACGTGAACGTGAATAATGTTATTAACCTTAAAGAAAAGGTGGAAAAGTCAAAAGAGGCATTCATAAGAAAAAATAAAGAGAGGCGTTGTAACAACAACAACCCTAAACGCCCAGCAAAGCCATAACAGTAAAACCGAAAATATTAAGACCATCAAGGAAACCAGAAAGTCATGCCAAAAGGACATGCTTGCTGATCAAGATAAAGTTTGGATGTTAAGCAGACGATGGAGACATTTTTTTATGAGAAACGAGCAAAAGCTTTATAAAGATTACGAGAAAAATAAAAAAATATAGCCTTTTAAAGATTACGTTCTTTGCGAGAAAACCAACTGACATTCTGACGGAAAAATAAAAAACAACTAGTATACCAGCTGGCTGTCGGGTAATGGAGTCGCCAGAAAATCGGGTTGACAAAAATATATCTACCCGAATCGCTCTGACGTCATTGGGCTCTTTCGCTATTTTGGCACCATTGCCTCCTCAGTTTCAGAATCTCTTAGTGGCTCCGCTTTATTAAGCGTTGAGCGTTGCCTCGTTTATTTTTTCGTTCGAACGTAGACCAGGGGTGAAAATTTATCTGCTACATTAAGCGAAATTTTATTAGAGAATCGGAAATATCTTGGTCTACATTAATATGTGTATTGGGCTCAGCTAAGAAAACTTGGAACAGATTCCTACAGGCCCTTAAGAAAAAAACACAAGTAAAAACAAGAAAGGAAAGCTAACTTTGGGCGGAGCCGAAGTTGATATACCCTTGCAGTTAAAACCGGATATATATCACAAACATCGGATATAGTTGGCCGATCCTTATGAGAATATGATAAAAAGAATATAACCCAATTTATTATAATACAAAATCTAAAAAAAAACCCAAACTTCTATCTTCATAAATACCAAAGTTGGTATTTTTACCAAAAATCATTTCCGATCGTTCAGTTATATGGCAGCTATAAGATATAGTCAGCCGATCGTTATGAAATTTATATTAACTCAGGAGGTAATCCTGATCAAGAATATACTTTATACCAGGGGTGCCCAGCCCCGTTGCTCTCAGTGCTCCTTTGTTGTTGGAATTGCTCTTTCATATGGGTAATGAAATTTCATACACGTGTGTTGCTCCCATCATAGCCAAAGTGCATTTACAATAATAATTTTTCGTGTTTTTCCTATTCTCCTCTATCGTGCTAATCCGAATGCAGTTTGTTGTTGGATTACCGAAACTTTTCACTGCAAGAAATTCATTCTTGTTTTTGTTTCTGCCAAAATGGTCGATCTGAAGCGATCAATTTTTTCTTCGCAGAAAATTTTTTTATAAGTAAGAAGCTCCGCATTTTTTGTCATAGTTATTAATAAGCTGTTTTAAAAAATTGAGGGTCTTTTTTTAGTTGCTATAATAAAATGTATTTTTTATTATATCGATTTTTTTAAGCCCTTTATAAATGTGACTAGAATTCTGTTTTCAGTACACCCACATGGAGGGTAAAAAAATTTCTCGCTCCAATGCACTATGGTGTTTTTGACCACTTTATGTGGCATTTAATCATTTTTTGAAAGTTCTCTGATTTAAAAAAAATGAATGGGAATGTATTAAGAAAACATGAAACTATATGCCTCATACTCAAAATGTTAATTCTTAACAGCATATGTTAGCATAACAGCTGCAAAGTCAGCTTTTGCATCCGAAAGTACGTGCGCTAAGTTTGCAATTTTCACATAGTGATCTGTGAAATTAGATTATTTGTTTAAAACTCCACACTGATTTCACAGGTTTGTACTACATGTTAAATGTATTAACTGTTTAAATTGTGCGTGTCTATACTAACATTTTGTCATTTTATAGATGCACCTTAAGCTGAATTTCGGGAAACAAATTTCAACATTGGGAAGAGTTTTGAAATAGAAGGAATAGAAAGTTTTCAATGCGTATGTTGTAGCGTTGTCATTACTGAGCAAAGGCTGTTAGTCTTATTGTGCATTTTTCTCTACTATAGGTGCAATTTGAATTTTTCTTAGATAACCTAACTTTCTCCAAAGCCGATTTGGTCGCTGTTTGGAACAGCGAAAGGGGCCGGGCTGAGCATCAAATGGCTGTACAATGTTTTTTTCAACGTCATAGAAATAACAATGTTGATAATGCCGTTTTGAAAGAAAAAAGCCACCAATATTTAATGGAAGTAATGGAAAATACGGTGCTTTCAGTCGGCTATTTTGGAGAAGAAGCGTCTGAATCCTGAAACATGCTGTATAAATCAGACAGGCGTCACCATTCAAGAAAGCACAACCGATTACATTCCTTCGCTGATGTGTTCAACAGAGCTATGGATACACCAGATCCAATTATTTCGTCCTTAATTTATCGAGATGCATAAAAAACTAAAGAGTCTTTTACTTCCAATTGAGGTAATTTAGATGCTTTCGTACGAATACGAAAATAATGTTTGTCTCGAAGATGACTAATTTAACGATTCCAGCTTGTTTTTTTTAGATAATATTAATATATTATAGAAAATGAATAAAATAATAATAAGATTAATACTACTGTATAAAGGAATTTTTCTTTTTCAACTTTTATATGCTTTAGAGGCATATAAAAGGTATTTTAAACTGGTAGTTCCCAGGGAAAGCGTTATCCGATTTGGTTCAAAATTGCTATATCGTATTAAAATAGCAACAAATGTCAAATTTTAAATTTCATTAATTTATCTTTACTTTTACCAAATCGTTCCTAAGGGAGCTATAGGATATAGTTTCCTGATCCGAAGGATTTTCATACTATATGTATCTAGGATCAAATAATAACGATTGGTAAAGTTTCAGTCCGATATCTCCAAAACTGACCGGGTTATTAATTAATGCCACAAAAACAGGTCAAAAACCCCATAGTGCAATGTATTGGAGATATTTTGCATTGGTATTGGAGTTTTCTCTGTCGTATGCTGAGCTTGGGCACCCCTGCTTTATAGGGTCGGAGATGTAACCTTCACTGCGTTGCACCCTTTTGGACAAAAGTATAATACCTCTAGAAGGGTATAAGAAGAAAGGAAAGCTAACTTCGGGCGGAGCTGAAGTTAATATACCCTTGAAGTTAAATCCGGATACAATAGGTTGTCAAACAGGTCTTGCGGTATTTTCGCTAGTTGGCGCTGAAAGCTCGTAATTCTTGTCGCATCAGGTCATATTAAACCTTTTTGGAAAGCTCATTTCACCCGCTAACACGTGTGTGATTGATTGTCTTTTCTTTTAAGTCGTTCGTGAGTTATAGCGTCGCAATCATGGAGCAAAATAAAGAGAAAATATGGCATATTTTAGAGTACTACTACGATAAAGGCAAAAATGCATCTCAAGCCGCCAATAAAATTTGTGCAGTTTAAGGACCCGATACAGTTTCCATTTCCACCGCGCAACGATGGTTTCATCGTTTTCGTTCTGGTGTAGAAGTGGTCGACGCTCCGGAAGGCCTGTCGTCGAAAATTGCGATACAGTCGCTGAATTGGTCGAAAAAGACCGGCATAGTAGCAGCCGTACCATCGGTCAAGAGCTGGGCATGAGTCATCAAACCGTTATAACCATTTGAAGAAGCTTGGAGTCACTAAGAAGCACCCATACATCGAGGGTGCCACACGAATTGACCCAAAGACATCTTTGACCGTATCGTCGCATGAGAATCGCTTCTAAATCGCAACAAAATCGACCCGTTTTTGAAGAGTATGGTGACTGGCTATGAAAAGTGGGTCACTTTTTTTTTTAACCAATTTTATGAACAATTGAAAATTCAATAAGGATACCGCAAGACTTTTTTGACAACCTAATATATTGCAAACACCGTATGTAGTTGGCCGATCCTTATCAGAATATCATAATATAACCAGTTGATTACAATAAAATATCTAAAAAAAGGTCCAAAGCTTATATCTTCAAAAATACCAAAGTTGGTATTGCTACCAAAAACCATTTCCGATCATTCAGTTGCATAGCAACTATAAGATATAGTCGGCCGATCGTTACGAAATGTAGTAGGTGGGATAAACTGACCAAAAATAGAATCTGTACTAAGTTTCAGCTTTCTATCTTCAAAATGTGGGTCAAATGTGGATTATTTCCGGTCGTTCTGTTATATGCGGCTGTTGGATATAGTCGGCCGATCCTTATGAAATTTGGCATGTCGTATTATTTTGCCAAAAATTATTTGATTATGTTAAGTGTTAAATTTGATTTCTCTAACTCTTAAAACACCAAAGTTATACCATTTCCGAAGGAAAGAAGGATATGTGCAATGTTTCAAGTCGATAGCTTTAAAACTGAGAGATTAGTTTGCGTAGAAACAGACAGACGGACAGACCGACATGCTTATATCACCTCAGGAGGTGATCAAGTATATATGTATGTACATACATACTTTATAGGGTCGGAGATGTCTCCTTCACTGCGTTGCTCACTTTTTACCAAAATTATAATCCCCTCTGCAAGAGTATTAAAAATGTTTTAATATATATTTTTGTACATATAGTTTTTATATTAATATTTGTATACATTAATACACATATCCCCTTTTATATATTACAATATACAACGTATATAACAATATATATCCACATTCCCTATTTATCCACATTAAATATTAAATCAAGAAGGAACTGGTACAATTAAGTTTCCCTATTATTTTATACCCGGTACACAAATCTTTCAACTGTCAAACGACATTCAAATGCACAACCTTGAAAATCAATTGAGTGAGATAGAATGCTGAAACGAAAATTGAGGAATGAGTGAGTGCGACTGTGTAGGTCTCACTCGCACAACATTCGGGGGATGTAAACCGAATTGAATGAGTTAGAGTTACAGTTCGCATTCGAATTGTTTTGAATTCATTCAAAAATGTACGATAAAACTATGCTTAATTGCCTGTATTTTTAGACGCTGATAATAAAATAATTAAAATGTGGAAGCAAGTCATT